GGGCTAATTAGATATCAGTTTGCCAACATACCTGAGTATTCTTTCCACAGTGTGCTGCGCTGGGATTTTGCCTAATGATAGCAATATCACTTCATGATAAAATGAACTTTCATGCTACTGTTACGATTACAATGTTGTGTATTTTCTTGCTTTCCAAAAAGAGGACAAAATGCCACCTTCATCCAAGATTTTCCATCCTGGGCAGCACTCCTAGCCCAGTGTGAAGCTGCAAGCCAAGTCTGAAAGACAAATCCAGACTGGGACTCTGCAGGATTAAGGGATCACCAGCTTTGCTGCTCTCCAGTAATGCCAACGCATCACCAATATTAACACCAGTGCTATTTCTCTTTATTAACACCAGTGCTATTTCTCTTTATAGCACAAACCCCAAAGAGAAGCAGGAGGGTGAGCAGGCTCCTCCTGATGGCAAAGGGAAACCAGGAGCTTTTTTCGTGCAGCCGTAGGAATCTCAGCGGCATAGTCTGAATTCCTGGTGCTGTGAGTGAAGCCGGGGAAGGCTGCAGCGTTTGCTTGGCTGGAGAACAGCAGGGCAGAGGGTGCTCTGAGGGGCCTTTGGAGGGATATTTCTGGAAAGTTGGGTGGACATTAATTAGGAAAATGAAAAACACACAAACTGTTGCCTCAACTCCAGAATTTGTTGGGGAGATCACACGGAAATCAGATCTAATCCAAAGGAGCAGCTGGAGATTAACAACTATTTAATAGCACTGACTCTGCTTATCCAGCCCCTGAAACATCCCCACTCTGAAGACGCTGAGCCCTTCCTATGTGCAGTTCCCCCAACATCTCTCAGGATATCTGAGCTTTTAGGTGCAGGAATCTGGGTCCTCTCTTCCCTTGCAAATCTGAGGCCGGGGGTTTGAGGGCTGGGGTTTGGGGGAGGCTGTGTGAGCATCTGCCTGGTCCCAGACACTGTCCCAAGCTCAGGGAACCAATTTGTGACAGGTCCAAGTGAAGAGAGGAAGATTCCCAGGAAGTTCCTGGCTGCCTGCAGTGTCCCTTGCTGAGGACACTGTCAGCCTCAGGTCTCACACTCACCCTGTGCCACAGGGTTTTTGCCCTTGTTGAAAATGAATGGACATTTTTGATGCCTTTTTCACAAGTTTTCCTTTTTTAAACCCGTCAATATTTTGTGGTTTTGGCAATCTAGTCCAAGGTCAGACCAACCTCCTGCATTACTGCTCAGCCCTGCCAGCACGTGAATCTTGCCTGCACGTGAAACCCTTCACGTCCTTTGCTCATGTGAGAGCATTTCACATGGATTTGGCACTTGGAGATCCAGGACTTGGAGTACTGAGCATCATGATAAAAAACCCTACCACTTGGCTTTGAGATTTCTCCTGTCCAGAATACGTGGATTGATTCAAACCCTGATACGCCAGTGCAGAGAGAGAAATAGGGTTTTTTTTCCAGCACAGAAGGAAACCAGCGGTGAAGCCTCCATCCTGATCCCACATCTGCCACCCAGGGGTGTAGGATTTGTGTCAGGATTGGCCCTTTCCCATTATATCCAAGCTCACCGCTCCCATCACCCGATGCCCGATGCTCGGAGGGGGAGCAAGGGCATCCCTCCGGGTCCAGCCCTTCCCTTCTCGGCGGCGACGGGGCTGGCCGGGGCACTGACCCCAGCGCCGGGGAGTCTGGAGTGAAGCCGGCGGCCGCCGCTCCCCGCCGTCAGCCCACACCTCATCAATAGGGGCTGACAGCCGCGGCCTCGCCGCCCCGACGGCACCGCTGACGGCACGGCACGGCTGGGCACGGCTCGGCACGGCACGGCCCGGAGCTGGGGCTGCAAGCAGGCAGCCCCCTAAGCTGCGGCTGCAGGCAGCCACATCACTTCGGGCTGTAGGGAGACCGGTGGTTTGGGGATACAGGGACCCCCATGGGTCTGAGATGCAGGCAGTGCTGTGGGTCCAAGTGGAGGCAGTGCCGGGGGGTCCAGGGTAAAGGCAGCCCCGTAAGTCAGGGTGCAGAGAGCCTTGTGCGCAGGCAGTCTCATGGATCTGGGGCGTAGGTATTCCCATGAGGCAGCCCCATGAGTCCAGGGTTTTCAGTCATTCCCACAGACTGGGCGTGCAGGAAGCCCCATGGGTCTGGGGTAGCGGCAGCATCACTTGTCAAGGGGTACAAAGTGCCCTGTGGGTCTGGGAGACAGGCAGACCAGAGGGTCAAAGCAGCCATGGATGGGGGGGGGGGGAAACAGGAAGCACCACTGGTCAAGGGGTGCAGGGAGCCCCATGGGCAGAGGGGCACAGACGGTCCCACAGCTGAGGTGGCACTGACACCCACATGGGTACGGGCAGCCCCATAATAGACATCCATGGGGACGTGGCCAGTGCAGCCACACACAAAGGTACAGTGAGAGAGAAGGACATACAGTGAACAGTTGTAGGCAGATTGAACCCTAAGTGAGTGAAGCAGAGATCCATAGATAGGTATGTATTGATAAATAAGTATGTTGTGAAGTAAATAGGCACAGATAATCAAACAGACAGAGGAATGACTAGAAAGTCATATAGATATTGGATATATGGCTAGATGGATGGATAAACGAATAGACGGATAGATGGCCAGGTGGATAGATTGGTGGTAATATTGACTGAGGTTCTGCACTGCCCGCACATCAGCCCATGCATTCCCAGGCATCTCAGCTTCTGCCTGGTGCAGAAGGCACTTCTAGCCTCTTTCACATGGGAAGGGGCTTTCCATCACCACTGCCACAGCCTCCAGAATGAGGGGCTGTGCATGGGCTTGAGCCACCCGTGGGCACTCAGCAGCCAGGAAGGTGGTTTCACAGAAGGTGTGCTCCAGATGTGTGTTTTTAGTGCTGTTACATCACCACGGTCCTTTGATGTGTTGGCAATCAAGCCACACGTGTGGTCAGCAGTGCGAGTGGGCAATGGGAACCCCGGCAGCAATGCACCCTGATTTGGATGGTGGATTTTGGCAGTGAAGCTGAACAGGAGTGTAGCACATTGATCCATGCTGTATTTTCACTGTACCCTGGGACACCTCTGTCCCCTGTAGCAGGGATCTTCCATGCACATGCAAAGGCACACCCAGGGCATGTGTTCACATTCTGCGGCCCCTGTTTCCCTAAAGATCCCAGTTCCAGGTGGGTTTTGGATCCTGATTCTCCCTAAATCACTCCAGCACTGACGCTCACCACTCAGCCCCTCTCCCCTCCTGCTGCATCAGAGCACTGAGCACTGCTCCACACACCTCTGCATCCCACAGCTTTGTCCTTGGGGAAGTTATCTGCACTGCCATTAGGGAAAAAAATAAAAGGAAAAAGCAGTAACATAAGATTAAGGGGCAGAAGGAGCGGCCAAAATGGATTTAGAAATGCCCCTGGAGCGTCGCTGAACGATGATGCTGTTTTGACACCCTCCTGGCCTTGAGGAGGTTGTAAACAGGGTGGGGAGTGCATCTTGGGACCACTGTTGTCCTGTAAGCAGATGTGACAGATGTTTAGGAAAGTGTCTCTGAAGGTGTGAGAAGGGACTTTGGTAAGTCGGGGTGGGGGTGGCAGCCAAAGCAGAGCAACCCTCCTGCTCTGACACCTTCCTGCCCACATACTCCCTTGGTTTGGGGCTGCCCCCCCTCCCATGCCCTCACTCCTATGTGAGGTTTCTTTCCTTGGGCCACGTGTCCGTGGACAGCGGTGCCAGGGGGTGCAAGGTGAGGACTCCGAGTCTAACCAGGGGCTTTGGGAGGAGCCAGCATCGGTCCCGCGGGCTGGAGGACTGATTCACCCCCAGCAGCTCTCCACTGGGGTTTGATGCTCGGCGGTCACCCCCTTCCCCTGTGTCGGCCAGATTTGGGGGGGGGGGGGGGGGCATGGGCATCCCTTCCGCCCTCCTCCATCCCCAGACCCCAAAGGCGGGTAGGGGAGGTGGGTGAGCTCTGCTCCAGGGCTGCCCTGAGATGTCTCTGGACTCGCAGGGGCCTGAACCCCCCCAAAACCATCTCTCTGCCCCTCCAGTCTGACACCCGCAAAAGCCGGGAGTGCCAAGCCATGTCCCTCTCGGCTTGGGACATCCCCTCGTGGCCTCCCGAATTCCACTGGCTGCTCTAATACAAGACAGTGCAGGACAAACTCCGCCGGCTGCATCTCCATATCCCCCATGCACCTATAGATACACACACCAAGAGACATACACACCTACAGATAGACAGCCATAGATCCGTGATACCCAGCCGAGGGTACCTGCTCTCTGGAGACTGGCTACTCGCTCCCCGCAGCCCCTAAAGTCCAGGACCCCCCTCATCCCCGCACCCCATCCCCACATGGGATAAATAAAACAATAACGGCCCCCAAAACCTCTCACAAAGCACCGGGAGGGCTGCACCGATCCCTTTGGCTGTGTTTTGCTCTGCTAAAACCCCTCTTGCTTGCTGAGATTTTTCTTTTCTCCATTCTTTAATCTTTTGGGTTTGTTTGTTTTGGTTTATTTTTGGTGGGGTTTTGGGGGTTTGGTTTTTAGTTGTTTTTCTTGGGGGTTTTTCGTTTGTTTGGTTGGCGTGGTTTTGAGCGAAATTTTAAAAATTTGATTTTCAACACAGTCCTGAAGAGAAAATTTTAAATAAACAACTTACCCCTTCTCCTCATCCAAATTCCTAACGTAGATTTTTCTTTTTCCTTTTCTTTTTCCTTCTCTTGTTCACTGCCTCTCACGGGTGCATCTACCAACACCCGCAGCTTTAACTCTAAAACCGCCACGGAATTAACTTCAATGAGGGGGGAAAAACTCGAACAAAACGAACCCCCCAAACTGGCACTGTATCGATTTATTTCCTCCTTGGGGGGAGAAGAAGGCACATGAACGGAGAGCGGAAAGGCCGAGGTTTGTTCCGCACCATTATTTCCAGCCAGATTTCGTTGACCGCTTCACTTTGAGGGCGAGCGCCGGGAAAAAGGCTCCTCGGAGCGCAGAGCTGAGATTCCACCCCCCCACCCACCCCCCCACACCCTCCCCCCCGCCTTGTCGCTGGGCTCTGTCCTTGTCCCATTCTTTGCATCTGGTTTTGGGGGGCATAGAAAGTGTCCGAAATCCATCCTCTCCCTCCCGGCTGGCGCTTAAGGCTGGGGCTCGGCTCCTCACGGAGTAGCCTTCTGGCCGTGAGCGCCGGTAGCGACGCGACGCTCGGCGCCGAGGGCAAGTATTTCCCCATTGAAAGAGGCTGGATATGGCCACAAGGTATTTTGCCCTGTGTGTGCGCGTTTTTTCCCAGAACAGACAAACCCAAGGCAGGTCCTTGAAATCACCAGCTCCTGGTAGAGCTCCTCGGGCGGTTTTAATAGGCTTTAATTGGATTTTTACTTCTTTTTTTTTTTTTTTTTTAAGGAAAGCGCTGATATTTAGTAAGAATTCAACGAAGATTTAGTAGAGGAAATCAGCAAGAATTCTGCAAGGCGTGGATAAGGAGATGCATGTCCCGAACCCTGAACATCTGGATACACAGCTGCTTTGGAGAAGGAAAGAAATGAAAAACATCGATATGTTTAATTCTCCCTTCTTTCTCTGCCTACTGACAGCTCTGTGTTCAGAAGCATATTTTTATATATACACACGCACACAGCGTGGTACAAATTACACTGTATATTTAGGTATAGGAGTATATATATATTTATATGTAAGACATGCATTAAGTCCCATCTATAGGCAGTGTTTGTTTTGGTTAAGTATAAAGCTACATACTCATTATTACATGCAGATTTATCCCGTGTGCTTAAAATAAAAATATCGAACAAGGCACACTGTGGCCCTTATTTCTCTATGCCCTATTTATGTGCCTGTAACTTCATTTCGATAGGTACTTCTAACCATCCTCCTGTCTATATTGCTGTATCTGCCCTGATTTATGTGGAGACACATTTTTAAGCTCTATACCGGGCTGGGGCACCATTTTTAGGGTTTCCCGGTCACAGACTCTCTGTGCCCCCCACAGAGGGTACCCCAGAGTAATGGGGGGGGCTGCGTGCAGCTCCGGGACAGAGGATGGGGCACCCCCCGACCACTCCCTGCACTGTCCATTCCCCCCTTAAATAAATCACTTCCCCTCCTTGTCCCCCCAAAGACCCTGCTCCCTCCACCTCTTTCATAGGGATATCTTTAATTCCTCAAAGATTTTTTTCTTTCCCAGTCCCAAAGCTGCTGCCAGCCCCCACCTCAGGTAGGACCCCAAATTTCCAAGGGAAATCCCGGAACCAGAGTGCAGGAAGAATTAAGGGTGTGAGCATTATTCCCTGAATTGGCTCCGTGCTGCACCATTAACCTTTAGATCTCAGCGAACAGGGAGGCAGCGGGGAGCAAAAGATGGGTGTCCAGTTTAGGGGAGCACTCTCCAGCAGGTTGGGGTGGATGGGACAGAGGCTGCCACCTCTGCTTGGACCATAAAGGGGTTTGGGGCAAGATCCTGCGGAAATCCCCACCCTGTGCAATACCCCCAGGAAAGGAGGTTACCTCCAAAGGGACAGGGGAGCTGGGGGGTGGGGTCCGTGCCCCCCAGAACATACCCCTTTTTACTTGTGTGGGCTGTGCCTGGGTGTCCCTCTGGGTGCAGGGGCGGTGCGGAGCAGGACAGCCCGGCTGGACTTTGCCTGCAGCGTGGGGCCGGCCGTGGGGCTGTGCCCGTGGTGATGGTTTGATTTTATTATTATATCCCTTTTTCCCTTCCCTTGCACAGCAATGAAACCTGGCGCCCGGCTGATGGTGCAACAGATACCAGACACCCCCCGGTTACCCCCGCACTTTCCTCCCATCGCCACCCATTTCCACGTGATGTGGGCAAACCAGTCAGCGAGCGGGACTGGGGAGTCTGGCCTCACTGGGGAACCAAAGGAAGGTGGGGGGAAAGCAGGGCTCCACTGTCCCTAAGCTCCCCCCCCCCATCTCCTAGTCCTCTGCCTTCCCCGCAGCGAGGGGGTGTCCTGCCCCACGGCCTGCCCCCCTCCACCACTTGTGCCCCCAGCACCAAAGGTGGGTAGTGCTTCTCTGTCCCCTTGCTCCTCTCCCTCGCTGGACCCCGGCGAGCCCCTTCCTACGGGCCTCCCCTGAAAGCTTCCTCCTATTGTCTCCTCGGGCTCCAAAACAGACTTAATTTTTCCTTTTTTTTCCCTCTTTTTTAGTTGTTTTATTATTATTATTATTATTATTATCACCGTTACTATTTTTAAGGCAGGAGGGAAATTCACTCTTTTTTCCCCTCCTGTGGGTCCTGCTCCTCTTTGGAAAGCCCAGTGGAAATGCTCCATCCAAGGGTTACAAGCACACGACCCAGCCACTGCTCTATCCCCTGGGTTTTTTTTTGGGGGGGGGGGGGGGGGGGGGCGGGATGCAGCGCTCCCTTAAACCCCCTTCTTCCCGGCCCACTTCCATCCTTACCCCTTCCCAACGCTGCCTCCGGCTTCTCCCCCTCTCCTCGGCCGCCTGCCCGTCTCCCGCTGTCCTCCCGGGTATCAGCCGTTATCTGCCGATTATCTCTTGTGCTGCTAAATTCAGCCCAGCAGAGGGGTTCAGCCGGGGGAATCTGCTAGTTACACCGTAATCAGTCCCAAGAGTTGTTTCGCTGTCCATAATTGCCCCCATCCAGCCCTTCTCTGGGTGTGATGTGGGTTTCTAGGATCCCTCCATGATCTGCAGGGAAAACAGCATCTTAGAAGGTTTCACCCCGTTCCCAGGCCCTCCTTGGGAAGGGGATTTCCCCTGACACCCCTCCACAACGCTTTTTGGGGTCTTGCCACTGCAAGCCCCATACAAGGCCCTGACAGCACCCCTCGGCCTAAGCCATGCCCCTCCACCCCAGCCCCCCCCCCCAAAGGAGCCCTTATCAAAATCAAACCGTCATGGGGAAAAGCATCCATCACACCCACCCTGCCCTGTGGCTCTGGGAAATGCTTCCCCATCCCAAGTCACAGCATCCCGTGGGTCATCCCGCTGCGCTTCCAGCTTCTCCCAGCTCCCCACGCAGGAAGAAAGGGAGTAAAAACACTCAGGAGGGAGTAGTTTTGCTCCTAGGGGTCTGCTCTCCACATGCCATCACCTGCAAACGAGCAGCATGGATGGGGGTGCAGGGGTTAATGCACCCCCCTTCTTTTAAGCACCCCTCTTCCATGCATGGCCGGCCACGCGTGGGGCAGGCGGGGGGTGACAGGGTCGAGCCAGCCTTCCTCCTTCTCTTCCTCCCCACCATCTGCCTAATTTACCCCCCTCTCCCGCAGCCTCCGTGTCGCCCCCCCTCCGCCAGCCCCACATCAAACACGGGCCTCGGGGGCCATTAACAACTTAAAGCACCGATCGTACCTGCGGGACAAAGGTTTTTGCTCCAGGCCCTAGCAGAGAGCATCGCTGTCTCTCACCTTCCCGGCTGCGCACCCCCCCTTCCACCTCCCCTTTCCAACCCCCCCCAGAAGAACTGCTCTAACCTCCCGATCCCTCCTCCCCGAGGCGGGGGTGGGGGGGGTCCCGGCCGCCGCCTACTCCCGCATCCCCCGGCTGCGGCTCCCCCGGGCTCCCCAAGGTGCTGCTGGACGGGGCGGGAGGGGGGGGGAGGAGACTGACCCGGGGTTTTAAGCAGCCCAGCCCCATCGTGGGGGGGGGGGGGGGGGGGGAGAAGGTGATGGATGGAGCCCGGTGGGAGAAGCTAAATCCAGACGGGAGCTAAATCTCTCCGCCGGAGGGACCTGGGCTCCTTGCCTGGGGTCTCGGAGCGGCGGCCGGACCTGCTGAAGGTGGGGAAAGTGGGAGGTGTGGGGAAAAGGGTGCTGGGGGGGGGGGTTGGAGGAAAATTGTATCGCTGGTGGTGTTTTGGTTTTGGCTGGAAGGCTGCACCCACGGGAGACAGCGCCGGCTCACCGCAGGGGAAAGTGGAGCCGAGGGGTTTCCACCCGCTCCCCACCGCTCTGGATTGTGGCCGGGGACCCGGCCGGGGTTTGGGGAGGTCCATCACGAGATGTACCAGAGTTTAGCCATGGCAGCTAACCCCGGCCCTCCGGCGTACGAGGGGGCAGGTGGCTTCATGCACAGCGCGGCCGCAGCGTCCCCCGTCTATGTGCCCACCACGAGGGTCACCTCCATGATCCCCAGCCTGCCGTACCTCCAGAGCAGCGGCTCTTCCCAGCAAGGCAGCCCCGTCTCCAGCCACTCCATCTGGACTCAACCCGGAGCTGAAAGCGCCGCTTACAACCCGGGATCTTCTCACCCTCCCGTGTCACCTCGGTTCTCCTTCTCCACCAGCACCCCTATCCCTGCCACCTCTTCCCGGGAAGCCGCGGCTGCTTATGGCACCTCCTTGAACCTTTCTGCTAACGGGAGGGAGCAGTACAGCAGGGGTTTCGGCAGCTCCTATTCCAGCCCCTACCCGTCTTATATGAGCCCAGAAATGGCCACGACCTGGACTTCTTCGCCCTTCGACAGCCCCATGCTGCACAACCTGCAGAGCCGAGGGACGCCCGCAGCCGCCCGGCATGCCAACATAGGTGAGCACAGACCGGGTTGGAAGAGGGGAGGGAAGGTTTCACCTCGCTGCCTCCACAGATATTTATGCACTCACGGGTAGGGTGAAGAGGGAGAAATTCAGCTTATTTGGGATGTGGCTGTTGGATTTGGCTGCAAAACACGGGGTGCCCACAGTGCTCCCCTCCCGCACCCTGCATGTACGTTCTCTGCAAAACCACCATTTCAAAATATCCCCCAAAACCTCAGTTTCAAAAAAGAAAAAAAAAAAAAAAAAGGCATAATTCAGGATAGGCCTGGAACGGCAAGAAATGATGTGCCGAGCTCCTGCACCAGGGCCTGCCGCTCCACAAACGCCTCCGAGGAGATTTAGGGTCTGCGATGGGGATGATCCTGGTGTGCAGGACCCCGATGTGCATAAGCAGCCCCTTCCTGGGCTTGTCTGAGGTGTAAAATGGGGGAAATCTGTACGGAAAATGGTAAAATTGAAGTGTGGCCCATGAATCCCAGATCTTTCCTTTGAGCTGCTCTGTGTTACTTCTTCTTTTATTTAGGGTAACGGGCCAGTTAGGGTAGAAAAAGGGAAAGAGGGGAAATTTGGTGTTGAGAGGGGAGAGATGATAGAGAAAGAGAAAGATAAATGCATCCACTTTAATTAGTACACTTCCTGAGGGATTCACAGGCACATATGGACAGCCCAGCCCTGTTTTTCGGTGTCTCCTTGCCCCCCAGAATATCTCAGTCCTGATCTCTTGTGCCGATCCCAATCTTGGAGCCTTTACCCTGTGTCTACAACCAGAAATTGGCCCAAATGGCTTAAAATACTGTTTTCATATTCCATAGAGGGGAAGAGGGAGAAAGAGGGAGAGAAATGCAGGCACAACTTTGCATTGCTGTTTCATAAACCCTTCTTTCTCTCCCGTTTTCTCTCCATGAAGGTATTTCTGTCGGCTTTGGGGTTGGGATTAACAAAGAAAACGACTCAAATCTGTGTGCAGATATATTCTGAGATTGCATTCCTTAACCTGAATTTTGGAGGGCAATTTTTCCATCGTGTTGGGCAAGATTTCCTTTATCTTTAGCATTATTTTAAGACTTAAGGAAAGGAAAGTTTGGCATCGGTGGAGGCTTGGTCTCACCAATGCCTTTTGCTTTCCTTTGGGCATTATGAAATTGCTTAAAATGGGGAAGAGATTATCCTTAAGGATAAAGTTTTGGCCAACCAATTTTCGGAAGCGACAAGAAGGCAGAAAGTATAGGGAAAAAAAGTCAGGATGAATCAAATAATCAAATACTAATTGAGTGTTAACAAGGACATAGCGTGTTTGCATTTGACTACTGCGCCATCTCTTCCCTGGGAAAAAAAAAATGTCGGCTTTCTGGAGTGGTCTCAAAAGAGCTCTTAGTAATAAAAATAACTTTAAAACAATGCAAAGGAATATTGCAGTTGCAAAAATACCCATTGGCTTTTAAAGTGCCAGAGACTGAGAGCAGTCATTTGGGGATTTTAAACCAGCAGTCTGCCTTGCAGGTCTCGCAGACTGCATTTTGGTGGCAAAAAGTGTTTTTTATCTGGGCTTTCAAAGAGTATTGGAAAGATGGGATGTGCTGAGCCAGGACAGAAAATGTTAGTGGTTGCTAATGAAGGAGGAAGGAGTGGGACCCTTTTCCATTGCCAGGTCCCGATTCACGGAATCGCCTCTGTCCTCCGTGTCAGAAACTGGGGGATTTATTAGCTTGCGTGTAATTATGTCTCTTTGACTAAGGAAAAAGCACTTGGGTTTTAAGTAAAAAGTGTTTTGGTTTTGGTAAATATTAAAAATAAACTGCCTGAAAGCCGACGAGTTTTAAATTCAGGATTAAAATGGACTTTTTGGAAGGCAGCTCCCCCAGCAAGTAGTTTAAGGTCCAGACCTGCCCCTTTCCCTGTTCTTCCCGAGTCGGGATGTGTCCGATGCCGGGCTGCTTCCAGCTGGGTCCCTTTCTGACACCGGGACGATGCTTTACCCAGGCTGCAGGTATTGAGGAGGGGGTCTTGAGGCATGTAAAGACTGGCTGGTGTCTTTCTGGTTTCTGAGTTTGGAGAGAAACCCATGTGAAATGGGTTTCTGAGCCAGGAGAAAGGGATTTTTTTTTTCCCATGAGGGAGGGCAAGAAGACTTTATGGGCTGAAAAACCAAAGGCATGGAAAGATGCAGTGGGGGTGGAAACACTGCTGTGTACTGCACCCATTGCAGACCCAGTTTAATAACACATCCGAGCTTGGCTCAGCGTCGGAGCAGTGCCCAGAACAGTGCAGCTGACCCCTTTCTTTGCCTTTCCTTAAGACTAAAGGTATTTTTATTCTTCGCACTATGAGGAATCTCAAGTTGGAAATACAATCCTTCCTTATATTAAATCAAGTGGTTCCTGCAGTGCATTTTCTTCCAGTGATTTAGCTTCCTGGAGAACCACTACCTTTGGATAGTGCAAATTGCCGAGCACTCCGGGATCATTAGGGTTTTAATTATTCTCATTTTTTAATAACGAAGATCAGGTCTATGCAGATGTAGCTGAATACGCAGACACCGATAGGCAGTTTGTGCAATTGGGCATGGCATTTTTTCCTCACTGTAAAGCAATGCACCAGGAAAAGAAGTTCAGTGAAATGTATTCAAATTAAATTATACTAAAAGAAAGAAAAATATTCTTTTTCCCTAATAAGAGGGATTTTGGCCTGGGTTAAAAGGTGCCAATACAGCTCCGTGGTATAAAGCACCGGGAAGGATGGGTGCACAAAAACATGGCCCTGTTTGAAAAGCTTTCCCCGGTGTGAGTTCAAAATGCCAGATTTGGGCTTTTCAGAGTAAGTTTGGCGAATGATTTCATTACCCTGAAGGGCAGGATCAGACCCTGCAGCCAAGGCCGTGAACTTGCTCCAGGCATTGCCTTGGATGGGGTTGCAGCGAATTCCCGACTTAATGAGGCATGAAAAGCACCCGCTGCAAAGTGCCCTTTGAAGAGTCTTCCCTGCCAGCCCCCTAAACCTCTTGAAATCTGTCCCAGAATTAGCATGGAGGAGTAGTTTGCTCCTTTTCCCTTCCCCAGGCAGAGGGAGCAGGGATCGAGGGCAGCACAGGAGCCCGAGCGCATCCAGCCCGCTGCTGCTTGCTGTCTCCGGGTTGTTTCCAGGCTGATGATGGAGGGCAGATCCTGGTTTGCCATCCCTGCCTCCTGTAACTTTGCTTTTGGCTAAAAAGCACTGGGTTTTTCTTTTGCTGTCGCATCGAGGAGGTTGGTGTGGTTGGAAGTAAATCGGGCTAGGGGCTGAGGGCATTTGTAACGGGTGCTTAGCGTTTTGCTTTGACTAAGTCGAAGTCAGGGTTCCTCAAAGAGGAACCATTTGAACGCAGCAGCAGCATCTGGGAAGATCAAAGCCTGGAGCAGACACTCGGTTCGAAAATGCGTTCTCTGCTGCTGGTGGGGGAGAGATTGTGAACCAGATCTCACGCTTTCCCATAGGGATGCTAAGAGATTTGCCTTGTAGCATCCCCAGGGCCAGCGTTTCCAGTAATTCAACGGCATTTGTTACAACCCTCTGCCCTACAAGGAGCCCCTCACTTTCCCCACACACCGAAGGACAAGGTGACTGCTTCCTATGGGGCAGTGGGCAACTGGGGGAGCCCAATCCCTGTTATCCCTGCCCTCTTGAGGGATAGGGCCGTAGGACAAGGGACAGGGTCAGAGGGCGGAGGGCTGGGGCCATAAGATGCAGGGATGGGGCTGTAGGATGAGGGATAGGGCTGTAGGATGGAGTGATGGGGCTGTAGGATGAGGGATGGGGCCGCAGCACACTTCTGCATTTCACATGGGACCCTACGTCCCCAGTTTTGCAAGCGGTTGCAATTCTCACCTCGGCTCCGCCGGCGGGGAAGGCTGGCCCAGGG